ATCATTCCACAGAACTTCTAATGTGCCTCTTTCTAAGTGCGCTATTCTGAAGTCTTGAATCAGTGGCGCTTGCCCATCAGCCTTTGAGACTCAACTTTGGTGAAAATAACTTACATCGGTCAGACACCAAAAGGAAGGGAAAAATAGATTATGATAAAAAGCCTTTGGTGTTTATAACAAAGGAACAATGCAGCTTCATTTTCCTAATCGTTACTGCTTTAAATGGTTATTTAAGTTACTTAATCTTTAAAAAATAAACCACATTTTAATCCAGTATCTCCTTAGGTGTGACTATTTCCCAAAAGTGTAGTTGAGCCAGTACTGTATTTCTAAGTTAACAGTGAGAGTTATTCAAGTTTCAGGACAATTATAAGACCAAGTGGTAACAATGTAACACTTTTCTAGTCAGACCTGTATTTTTTAGGGCAACAGTTGGTTGAGACGAGCATTCTGGTGGTTTACATTCTGCCCCAGACCGTCCCTTCCAGCTGCTGTGTTCTCTCTGCTTGTTCTACTCTTCCCCAACACCTTCAGACTCGCTCTCCATGTCCTAGGTGGCTGTCCCTTTCTCAGCAAAATCCCCTGGTTCCCTTGCCCCTCTTATCTGAGGGAGTTGCAGCATCCTTCTTGCTTCCATAGCCCTTTCCCCCATATCACCAGAGGGCCTCAGAAAACTCCCATTTTTCCTATTTACCTGTCTGTCTCTTTCACTAGACTGATAGCTTCTTTTTAAAATCTTTTTTCTTGTTGTGGTAAAGTACACATAACATGAAATTTACTATTTTAGCCATGTGAAATATATTAGTTGTATTAAGTACATTCACATTGTTGTGCAACCATCACACCATCCGTCTTCAGAACTTTTTCATCTTGGAATTGAAACACTGTACCCGTTAAATAATAACTCCCATCTCATTCTCCCCCCAGCCCCTGGCAACCCCTATTTTCCTCTGTCTCTATGAACTTGACTACTGTAGGAAACTCAAATAAGTGGAATTGTATAGTATTGTGTGTGTGCGCGCGCGTGTGTGTGTGCCTGGTCTCTTTCACTTAGCATGATGTCCTCAAGGTTGTTCATCCATGCTGTAGCATGTCGGAATTGCATTCAGTTAGCTTCTTGAGGTCAGGAATCATGTCAATAAATTTAAGTCTGAGTTAAAAAAAATGGGTGGATATGAATGTAAAGTAATGGGATCTGTAAACAATCTCAAAAGGAAGTTAAGGGCCCTGTTCCAACAGAGTGAGCCCGCAGAGCAAGAGGCCACAGAACCTAACTCCCCACGCCAATCTGCGGCTGCACGTCCAGCTTCCAGATCTTATGCAAATGTCTCTTGTGAACAATTCCAATTTGGAACCACACATGGAAAAAGTGGTTCCATGTGTGGTTCCAGCTGAGCTGGGTCAACAATGTCAAAGCCACCACAATGGTATCAGAGTATATTCCAGACAGGAGAAAGCCTCCATGTTGACCATACGTAGACAAGAACCAAACTCTCTGTTTGTAATTTATACATAGCTGATGACTAGAAGAATTGTCCACAGATGGTCTCTGGTTCCATATATTTCAAACTTTGTTTCTCTTCTACTAGCCACATACTTCTGGGGTCAGGTACCCTCGGGGGAACATTGCTATTGGGATATGGCCTCTGACCTTGTACCTTTATGCAGGTGAGTCAGTACAGTGGGTAATAGTATTCCTGGATGCCATTTATAAACCAGGACTGCTAATAATAACTAAACACAGGAGTGACTGCAAATCACATAAACGTATTCAACTAAACCTAAACCAAATATATCCCAGCTCAAGTTCTTATCTGGACCCCTTAAAATGCTGCAGCCTCTCCAGTGCCACCTAACACAAAGAAAGTCTGAGAGAGGGAAAGTTGGAGTAGGCAGAGAAAGGGTCTTAACCATTGGTAGTTAGAATATTGTACTTTGCACAGTTTACAAAAACAAATGACCTTGTGAACATGTTGGTGGGCTCTTGGAAGAAGCCAGTGCAAGTCAGGAGCCCTGAGAGTTAACCTCCACTGGCTCTGGGCAAATTTGTCTCTGACTGTTTCCATACAAAGCATTAGTTGAATTTATTTTTGTTTTTAATTTATTAAGAATATTTTCCAGGGCTGGCCTGGGATGCCAGAGGGCCCCGGTTCGGATCCCACATATGAGGGCCAGTGACACTGCCCTCTACAGCTAAGATGCTGAACAACAGCTCAACCTGGAGCTGGGCTGCAGTGGGTCACCAGCGATGGCGTGGGCCGCAGTCCCTGCTGCAGTGGGCTGCCATAAGCTACCGTGTGTAGCTCGCAGCCAGCGTGAGCGGCCAGCAGCTGCCGTGAGTGGCCGTCCAGAAGCCGGCGACTGATCTGCCTCGCCAGGGAAGAGCACAATGACGGTGCCAGCTTGGGCCAGTGAACCAACATCCTCCACAACTAGACTGAAGAACAAAACAACAGCAACTTGTCTGTTCCCCTTCCCTCGATTCCCCAATAAAAAAAATCTTTTTTAAAAAAAGAATATTTTCCAACATACACAAAATTGAAGAACACGTAATAAACCCCACTCCCGCCCCAAGTACCTATCACCCAGCTTCAACAATTAATTACCAGTATTGGTTGATTTTTCTAGTACCCATCACAACCACCCCAAATTCATTATTCTCTAAAGGTGTGATATTTCTGGCTCCTGCCCTTCTTTCTCAGATCTCTGCCAGGTTCTTAACCTTACCAGATTGCTTAACTCAACAAGGTAATGGGTCTCATAGAATTATTCACCCTGATAAATTTCATATATTTTTTTAATGCCCTTGGGGCAAACATACTTTATTTCCTTTCAGTTTCAGGGACTGAGTAAAGACAGATTTGACTAGCCTCAAAGGAGAAACTCTAGATCCTTTTCTCTATTACAGCTGGAATTACATCCTCCAGAAATCCACATTCGATGTAGATAAGGTTTTATAAAGCTTTATTGAAAATATATCAACATTAGAAAACAGCTCTTAAAACGTACAAGTTTATAATCTCATGAAGTAGCTCAGTAAAACCACAACAGTCCTGGTGAGAATGGGTGCAGCTACAATTTCTTCAAGCAGAATCTGAAAGAAATTGAATCCGTTAGCACATAAGTCATTGGAAGTCTTACTTTATGTAAAAAGCCTTAGGGTCAGGGCATTCTTAATAAGGATAACCACTCATATGGCAGTTCTCCGAATTATAATGAGGCTGATGGAACATTTTCATCTTATATGTATTAAATATCTACTGATTACAAGTTGCTGAGCCAGGTGCTGGGGGCATACAGCAGTGACAGGATAGACCAGGTTCTTGCTCTCAGAGTTCAGTCTGTTCCTATGGATGGTGTTTCTAAACCATAGCAATAACAGCTTAAGTGTGACTGCCTGCACATCCCTAGCCCTGCCCCCTACGTAATAATGACACACCCAGAAAGCTCATCTGATTGATAGGTTCTTCCCATGTTGAGAGCTACTGTTTCTCCCATTGGGGGGAAGGGAACAATAAAAAAGTCAATCCACAAACACACAAGTAAACATTGTGAAGAGGGCTGTGATGGAAATGATTAGGTTGCTGTGACAGTGAAATTGATCAGGGCGTGGTGAGAGAGAGAGAGAGAGAGAGAGAGATTGTACTGTAGTTTGGGTCATCCGCACAGACCCCTTTGCATAGATGGCAGGTAGGGGAAATGTCCTGGAAGATGAGAAGGAGTAGCCGTGAGCTTTCTGGCGATAGGGAACAGCATGTGCAAAGGCCCTGAAGTGGGAGGGGGCTTAGTGAACTTATAAAAATGTGGAAAGAAGACAGTGGGGCTGAAATAAGATTGGAAAGACAGGCAGGGGCCAGATAATGTAAGGCCTTCAGAGTTGCAGTGCAGAATATGGGTTTTATTCTAAATGCTTCCCATTAGAAGTCACCAAAGGGTTTTAAGAAGGGAATTGATGTGATGATAATAATGAGAAGTAACCCTCCCTGAACACTCACTCTGGGCCAAACAAGGCTTTAAGCTATCTACCTATCTATCTATCTGTCTATCTATCTTTCTATCTATCTCAATGAATCCTTATAACAACCCTATGAGGTGAGTACTATTTATAGTCTGATAGACGACGAAACTGAAGCACTGAATGCTTAAGTAATTTTACCAAAGTCACACAGCTAGTAAAATCTGTTTTAATACCTTACCTTAGCAGTCTCCCAACTGAGAAGTGAGAGGAATTTTATTTGCTGAAAGACTGGCAGGAGTTGCAGTGAAAGAGTTGTGCTTGCTGCGGGTGATACCAGCAAGCATTTCTCTGGCTCAGAAAGTTGCCAGCAGCTGTTCTGCTATGACAGGCATGTATGTCCCATAATAGGCTAACTATTAACCAAGGCATGCACATGGTGAGGTTCACAAACTTTTGTAAGGCAGTAATTTAACAACAAAAAAAACCGAATTCCTAGAAAATGTGGTCTCTTCTGGCTGGGAAGACGCAAGGTCTGTCAATAGCCGCTTTCAAAAACCCACAAGCGGGAGACAGGGGTTGTCACCTCGAGGGGTAAAAAGTGTTACTGCACTGTGTTGTATAGCTGAAACTAATTCTAAAAAATGTGTATTTCACAATAAAAAATAATTTAAAAAAACGAAAACAAAACAAACAAAAAACCCCCCACAAGCATGGGGAGAGTTGGTTTCAGTCACCAGAAAAGCAACTCAAGAAGGAGCCTTTCATTTGAACCCTCTGCTCTGCCGGCCATGGCAGCCGGGAAGTTCTGATGTTCCAAGGGAGCAGGTACGCAGAGCAGGGAGGACGTGGCTTGCGGGGCCAGGACGGGGCGTGGAGAAAACAGCGTGACAAGGCTTGGGGAGGCAGGTCGTATGGGCGGGCTGGCTGAAGTTAGACCATTGTGGAGTGAAGTACGAGTGTTGCGGGGCGTGGTGACGTGGGGGTGTGGCCCAGGGCGGGGCGAAGTGCTGATTGGCATGGCAGGGGCGGGGCGCGCGCGTTGGGAAGATGGCGCTACGTCTGCTGCGGAGGGCGGTGCGTGGAGCGGCGGCGACGCTGCCGAAGCTGTGAGTGCAAATCCCCGGTACCCCTCCGCTCAGCCGGGCTTCCCGGCAGGCCACGCGCGGTCCCCCTGACGCCTGGCGGAAACCTTTACCGGCCCGGAGCACCGTGCGTGTCCTGCGCCTGCTCGACCTCTGTCTTCCAAGGTCGCAAACGCCCTGGGAGGGTCGCTTTCACTGCCCTTGCCTCCCTGTAAGAGGGCCCTTGCTTGGTCCCGGAAAATGGGTACGAACCTTAGATCCATCAGCCCCAGAAAACAGAGCTAGCCTCCTCCACAAATGATGTAGTAACCGAGAACATGCAGATGTTTTATAAAAGGGGTTCTGGAGTCAGCCGCAGAGGCTGCTTACCTAATGAATAAGAACACTTTCCATTCATTAGTTCAGCACAGCGGTTCCCAAACTGTTTGGTCTTAGGACCCCTTCACACGCGGAAAAATATGGATGACTTCGAACAGCTTTTGCTTGCATCTGTTGATTTTTACAGTATGAGGAATTAAAACAATTTTTTTAATATTCATTTAAAAATAACAAACCCATTACATTTTAACACAGACGACATCTTTAATGAAAAATACCTTTTCCAAAAAAGTGAGCAGAGATGTATGGTTTTATATTTTTGAAAATCGCTTTGGTTTAATAAAGGACAATTGGAGTTTCATATCAGCTGTTCTGGAGGAAGTTTACAGGGAAATTCTGGACTGAGACGCAGATACTAGTTAGAAAAGGGAAGGCCTTGGAGACCCTCTCAAAGGGTCTCAGGGACCCCTAGGTGTCCTTGGACCACACTTTGAGAACCACTGATCTAGCTAGCATTTGTCTGTTTGCTAACTACAGATACATTAGTTATCTCATTTGATTCCCTGACCACCATGTGAAGTCTGGTGACTTGTTTGTAAAGATGAGGAAACAGGCTCAAAGAGGCCAGGTGACTCTTTCAAAGCAGAGAACTGCAGGGTTCTGTTCAGAAACCAAGTATATGGCTCTGAACTTTTTACATCTGCTTCCTTCCTGCTTCCTGTCTCACCAATGTCCTTTGCCAGGACCCACCTGGTTTATTTGTATCCCACCTTCCTGTTTCTTACATCCAGGCCTAGCACCTGGCTCTGGGCTCAGGTGATCATCCCTGGAACCAGAGGAACCATTGAGGTGTGTATGCAGACCCTTCCAGAAGGTTTCTTCTGGCCTGTGAAGGGGCCAGCTTTTGTGGCCTGTTCAACAATGGGTCCAGTGACCACTCGCCATCACCTGCTTCTAAGGCATTTGGGACTCAGCAAACAATGCTCTTTACCTCCATTAGCACACTGTCTCATTCTCAACACACCTACACACCCCACCAAGGCCATGGCAGCAGACTTTCATGCAGGGCACTTTCCAGACTGTACACCCTGTGTTAAATCCTCCAGTCCTGCAGTCTTCAGAACACTCAGGGATGAGAGAAGTGAAGGTGCCGAATGTCAGCTTAGAGATGTCTTCTTTTCTACCCAAGCTGGGTTGCACGTCAGCGTCAGGCCAGTGGACCTGCTTCTGCTGGCTTTTTCCTTCTGATTTTAGAGAGTCTCAGCACCATTGCTGATAGCAGGGACCATTGCTGACCCCTCGTCCTGACCCTCCAACATTTGCCCCTGTTGCAGTGTTGTCCCAGATGCTTCCATGCCCATCCTGTCCCCAGCCCTGCTGCTGTCTGTGGCCACTGCTCAATTTATATAAATACTCTACCCTCAAGTTGGGGGAGCATAACTTTCCACTCCTAGGTGTGCTATTGCCAGGGGTGTCTTTTCTTTTAAGCCCTCTCAGCTGACAGAGCTAGGAAATATAGGTGTGAATAGTAATCCATGCATATACACACTTAACAGATACTTCTGTATGTATGTATCGTCTACGTTAAGGTAGACATGAGTTCATACTATCTCCAATTCTAGTCCATTACCACAAGGAGTATTCTAGGCTCTTCCCTTGCTTATCTATAAATTTTCACTCCAACCGTGAGAAACCTGGCTCCCACCATTGCCATCCAGTTACTTCATTATTCAGTTTCAGCATACACGTATTGCAGTATCTGAATTGTTAGACCATACTCCATACTAGAGTACAGTGCTTATGTGGCGTTCCTTTCCCTGTAGTCTTGCAGGCTCCTCTCATTTACAGAGTTACCTAGGTTAACACATTTTTCTCCGGTCCCCTTCGGTGAGGTTGTCCCATACATTTGTAATCCAGTTAGATTGTCTTGTCACAGTCTGCGTTCTTTCCTGGGATCCCTGTACCTTCCAAATGATTATTTTTTTAATTGCATATTTAAGGTTCACTCTTTTTGCTATATAAAGTACTATGAGTTTTGACAAATGCATACTTTCATGTATCTACCATAACAGTATCATACAGAATAGGTTTACTTTCCTAAAAATCCCCCCTGTGCTTCAATCTATTAACCCATTCCCCCCTCCCTCCAAACTGTTGGCAAGTACTGGTCATTTTAGTGTTTCTATAGCTTTGACTTTTCCAGAATGTCATATACTTGGAGGCATACGGTATATATAGTCTTTTTAAACTGCGTTCCTTAGCAATATGCATTAAGGATTTTCCATATCTTTTTATGGTTGGTAACTCATTTCCTTTCATTGCTAAATAATATTGCATTGTGTAGATAGATGTACTACAGTTTGCTTATCCTTCTCCTGGTGAAGGATATTTTGGTGATTTCTAGTTTTCGTCGATTATGAATAAAGCTGCTATAAACATTCATGTGAGATTTTGTATGGATATAAGTTTTCAAATCAATTGGATAAATACCTAGAAGTATGATTGTATGATTATATTATATTTAGCTTTGTAAGAAACTACCAATCTGTCTTCCAAAGTGGCTATGCCATTTTTAATTCCAGCCATCGATGAATGATAGTTCCCAATGCTCTGCATGCTTGTCAGCATTTAGTATTGTCGGTTAAAAAAATTTTGTTAGCCATTCCAATAGGTGTGTGGTGATATCTGTTGTTGTTTTAATATGTTAATTTGTTTTAACTTAAAATTCCCTGATGTCAAATGACGTTGAGTATCTTGTTATATGTTTGTTTGCCATATCTGTATCTTCTTTGGTGAAATGTTTATTCAGATCTTTTGCCTATTTCTTAATTGGGTGGTTTTCTTACTGTTGAGTTTTAAGTATTATTTGCATATTTTAGATATAGGCCCTTTAGCAGATATATATTTTGCAAATATTTTCTCTCAGTCTGTGGCTTACCTTTTCATTCTCTTAATGGTATCTTTTATAGAGCAGAAGTTTTTGATTTTCATGAAGTCAGGCTTATCAATTTTTTCTCTCATGGATCATGCTTTTAGTGTTGTATTTAAAAACTCATTGCCAAATCCAAGGTTACATAGATTTTCTCCTATATTGTCTTCTAGAAGTTTTATAGTATTGTGTTTTATTCTTAGGTCTAGATCCATTTTGAGTTAATTTTAAGGATAGGTGTAAGGTCTGTGTCTAATTCATTTTTTTTTTTTTTGCATATTGATCTAATTGTTCTAGCCCATTTGTTGAAAAAGCTATCCTGTCTCCATTAAATTACCTTTGTTATTGTGTCAAAAATCAGTTGACTATATTTATGTAGATCTATTTCTGGACTCTCTATTCTGTTACATTGATCTGTGTGTCTATTCTTTCTCCAATACCTTGCTGTCTTTATTACTGTAGCTTTATATTAAGTCTAGAAGCCTGGGGGACTCAGTCCTCCACCTTAAGTTTTTTTCTGTATTATGTTGGCTATTCTGAGTCTTTTGCCTTGCCATATAAATCAGTTTGTTGATATCCACAAAATAGCTTGCTGACATGTGTTTGGGATTGTATTGAATCTATAGATTAAATTGGGAAGAATTGACATCTTAACATTGAGTCTTCTAATCCATGAACATGGATTATCTCTCCATGATTCCAAGATTTATTGAAATCTTCTTGATTTCTTTTCATCAGAGTTTAATAGTTCTCTGCATATAGACCTTGTACATATTTTGTTAGATTTATGCTTAAGTATTTCATTTTTGGAGTGCTATTGTAAATAAATTATATTGTGTTTTCAATTTCAAATTCCAGTTATTCTTTGCTGATATAGGAAAGCAATTGACTTCTTAATATTAATTTTGCATCCTGTAAGTTTTCCATAATCACTTATTAATTCCATGAATTATTTTTTGTTAACTATTTGGGATTTTCTACATAGACAATTATGTCATTTGCAAGCAAAGGCAGTTTTATTTCGTCCTTCCCAATATGTATACCTTTTAGTTCTTTCCTTGTCTTATTGCACTAGATAGTGTTTCCTGTAGGATGTTAAATAGGAGTGATGAGAGGGGATGTTCTTGCCTGGTTCCTAATCTTAGGGAGAGCATCCAGTTTCCCACTATTAAGTGTAATATTAGCTGTGATGTTACAGATGTTTTTTATTTCCCATTTGCTGACAGTTTTTTTCTTTTTGTTGTTGTTGTTGTTTTTTGGTCATAAATGGGTGTTGGATTTTGTCAGATTCTTTTTCTGCATCAATTGATATGATCTTTAAAAGCCTGTTAACCTGATGGGTTACATTAATTGATTTTTTTAATGTAAATTGAACCAGACTTATATACCTGGAATAAATCCCACTTGGTCATGGTGTATAATTCTTTTTATACATTATTGAATTTAATCTGCTAATATTTTGTTGAAGGTTTTACATCTATATTCATGAGAGATATTGGTCTTTAGTTTTTCTTTATTGTAATGTTTTTATTTGGTACTGGTTACATATATATATGTATATATATATATATATATATATGTATGTATCTCATGTCTTTTCTGTTCGTCTATTTCCTTTTTACTGCTTTCTTTTGCCTTAAGTGAATATTTTCCAATGTAATATTTTTAATTTCTTTAATGCTATTTTCACCATTTTTAAGTTGGTTGGTTTTTTGTTTGTTTTTTTTTTAGTGGTTACTCTAGGGCTTACCATATACATTTTAAAAATTGTGGTAAA